TTAATATATGAGTTAATCTTCACTACAGTGTTCCCGTCTGTCTGTATTTTGGTGTCTTCTACAGTGGGATTTTTGACAGAGTTATAATAAATATTTTAGGTTTGAAGTCTTTCTGTCTTCTTTCTCACTTAATAATTCTATATTTATTATTATAGATATTAGAAACAGAGACATCGGTTAAAATGATTTGTTTCTCGGATTATTTAAGGTTTTAATTATGTTATCCTGCCATAAAATTATATTAATGATTATTTTTATTATATTATTAATTTTATCAGTAAATAGTAGAATGAAATTTTATGCTGTTTGTTTCAATTTTACTTTTTATCAAAATTTCCTTTGGTTTTCGTTATATTTAATTCATAACTACAAGTATATATTTTTTAAACCTAAATATATTTTGTGGCATTTTTTAGTTATTACTTATTAATTCCACACCTTCATTGTAAAACATCATCTATACCTTACCTAACCTAATTCACCCTAATCGAACCTAACGTAATCTATTTCACCCTAACCTAACCTCACCTAAGCTAACCTAATTCACCCTAACCAAACCTGACCTAATTCACCCCAATCGAACCTAACGTAATCTATTTCACCCTAACCTAAGCTAACCTAATTCACCCTAACCAAACCTGACCTAATTCACTCTAATCGAACCTAACGTAATCTATTTCACCCTAACCTAACCTAATTCACCCTAATCTAAACTAATTCAACTTAAACCAACATATCGAAACTAAACTTAATCTAAACTAACCTAACGTAACAAAAGTTAAAGTAACCTAACTTAACCCCTCAAAATAGCCATATTTAATTATTTCTTATCGTATAAACATTCAAAAGCATTATGAAAATTTAATAGGACATAATTATAAACTTGTCCAAACATAATAAACCTCATTTATGGTCAATAGTTTGGCGTTGATTTTGTTATAACGAGCGAAGGATGTGTGTGTGTGTGTGTGTGTGGGGATGTGTGTGTGTGTGTGTGTGTGTGTGGGGAATGTGTGTGTGTGTGTGTGTGTGTGTGTGTGTGTGTGTGTGTGTGTGTGTGTGTGTGGAAGTGTGTGTGTGTGTGGGAATGTGTGTGTGTGTGTGTGTGTGGGGGATGTGTGTGTGTGTGTGTGTGTGGGGGGGGGTGATGTGTGTGTGTGTGTGTGTGTGTGTGGAAGTGTGTGTGTGTGTGTGTGTGTGTGTGTGGGGAATGTGTGTGTGGGAATGTGTGTGTGTGTGTGTGTGTGTGTGTGTGGGGGGGGGGGATGTGTGTGTGTGTGTGTGTGGAGTGTGTGCTGTGTGTGGGGAATGTGTGTGTGTGTGTGTGTGTGTGAGAATGTGTGTGTGTGTGTGTGTGTGTCTGTGTGTGTGTGTGTCTGTGTGTGTGTGTGTGTGTGTGTGTGTGTGTGGAATGTGTGTGTGTGTGTGTGTGTGTGTGTGTGTGTGTGGAAGTGTGTGTGTGTGTGTGTGGATGTGTGTGTGTGTGTGTGTGTGCTACTATTATTATTATTTTTATTATTATTATTAAACTCCGACAGCTTATCTATCTGTCTTCCTGCCTGTCCATCTACCTGTCTATGAACCTGTTTACCTGTCTGTCTGTCTGTCTACCTGTCAACCAACAAACACAACCCGACACTCAATCAAAAATATTTCAATAACTCAAAGAGTCAAAATGTCAGTCAGGTTTATGTATAATAATGACATAAATGAATATTTTCCATTTGAGGCGGAAGATGAGGTGTGGATATTAATGTAGCTCTTACTGGCTTGTGGTTGTGGCTGGTGTGGTTGGTGGTGGTGGTGGTGGGTAGTAGGTGTGGTTGGTGGTGGTGGTTGTGGCTGGTGGTGGTGGTGGTAGCAGGTGGTGGTGTGGTGGTGGGCAGTAGGTTGGTTGGTGGTGTTAGTGGGTAGGTAGGTGGTGGTTGGTGGTGGTGGTGGGTAGTAGGCATGGTTGGTGGTGGTGGTTGTGGCTGGTGGTTGGTGGTGGTGGTGGGGTAGGTGTGGTTGGTGGTGGTGGGCAGTAGGTGTGGTTGGTGGTGGTTGTGGCTGGTGTGGTGGTGGTGGTGTGGTAGTAGGTATGGTTGGTGGTGGTGTAGTAGGTGTGGTTGGTGGTGGTGGTGGGTATGGTGTGGTTGGTGGTGGTGGTGTTGGTGGTGGGTAGTGGTGGTGGGGTGTAGGTGGTGGTGGTGTAGGTGTGTGGTGGTGGGTAGTAGGTGTGGTTGGTGGTGGTTGGGTAGTAGGTGTGGCTGGTGGTGGTGGTGGGTGTAGGTGGGTTGGTGGTGGTGGTGTGGTGGTGGTTGGTGGTGGGTAGTAGGTGTGGTTGGTGGTGGTTGTGGCTGGTGTGGTTGGTGGTGGTGGTGGTGGTGGTAGTAGGTGTGGTTGATGGTGTTGGTGAAGGTATTGTTGGTGGTGATGTTGTAGTTGTATGTTAGTGGTAGTATGGTGGTGGTGGGAGGTGGTTATGGTGTTGGTGGTAGATGATGGTGATAGTGGTGATATTCTTTATTGTTGTTACTGTTTTGTTGTCGTTGTCTTTGTCTTATTCTTCTCCTCCTCCTGAACTCCTCCTCCTCCTCCTCTTAATATTTACAATTAGAGAGAGAAGAAGATGGGACGTGTATATTCATGTATCTCTTACCGGCTGCTGAACTATGATAAGAGACAGCTTCAGGATGATCTTTTAGTGAACTTTAATAACCACGTTTGTGTAAGGATATTATGTATGAGGGGGTGGGGGTGTGGGCGTGGTATGAGGAGGTGGGGGTGGGAGGCATGAGGGTGGGGTGTGTGGGCGGGTTGACGGGGTGGGGGTGTATGGGCGTGGTATGAGGAGGTGGGGGTGTGGGGTGGTATGAGGGGTTGGGGTGTGTGTGTGGGAGTGGTATGAGAAGGTGAAGGTGTGTAAGGGCGTGGTATGAGGAGGTGGGGGTGTGTTGGCAAGGTATGAGAAGGTGGGGTGGTGTGTGTGGGCGTGATATGTCGTGGTTAGTAGGCGTGCGTGGTCGTGGGCGTGTGTGCACGTTGTTTGGGGTTAGTTTATTTAGTTTTTATTTAATATCAGTGGAGAATGTATGTGTGTGTGTGTGTGTGTGTGTGTATATAGCACAACACAGAAGCCTCCATTAGCCTGTTCCAGGTCATGTGTGGCCCCAGTCCCAATGGGCTCTAAGTCCTAGTGGGCCATAAGTTCTAAAAGGGACTTAACCTTACTTCACCATTACAACTGAATCCCATTAGTAGTGGGACCCCATTAAGAATTAAGGTCCTTTGATAATGGGAACCGTTTTGAACTAGGGCCCGCTAAATCTGGGGCCTTTTAACACCTGTAGGTTCAGTATGACGAGGGCCAGGTTAATATAGGGCCCATTTAACCAGTCACCGTCCACCCCCTTGATCTACGTCATCTTCATCACCACCACTATCGTCATCACCACCACTATCGTCATCACCACTACTATCGTCATCACCACCACCACCACTGTCCGTCACTATCACCAACACTACCACCAATGTCACTGCTGCCATATCTCCACCACTGTCTTCACTAACACCACCACTACTGTCACCACCACCAGCCATCCCTCACCACCGCTACCATTTTCACCACCACCACTCTCTATAATAGCAGTTAACACCTTGATAAAAATAATGCTTAGCTTTTTATTCCCACCACTCTTACCTGCCATGATTATGTAGATGAAGTAAAAAAAAATCGTTAAATCTTGAAGAACAATATTTAGATGTTCACTCTTAGGTTTCAGCGTGATTACCTGTATAGATTAAAGCTGATAATACTACTTTACACCTGTACACTGCCAGGTTCGGCGCTGTTACCTGCATATCCTGTTGTTGACGAAGGCACAATGTTCTCTGTGTTCTTTCTGTTCTTTCATGTCAGGACACAATTAACTATAATATATTTTTATTTGAACTGTTCTAGTTTATTTATATTTTGTTATTTATTATTCAAAGTTCGTTCATAAAACAGCTATTCATTTTAAAACATTCAAAATATTATTCCAAAAAAATATTAATTTTTTTCCTTCGGGTACAATCTTCCTCGCGTGATTTTCCTTCATAAATAACTTTGTATATTTGATCATCTTTAAATAATTCATATTGTAATTTTTGTTTGTAATTATAGGAGTGATTTATGTATTAATTCAAACGACAAAACAATTCCTAGAAGCTAATAATGTAATAATAATAATAATAATAATAATAATAATAATAATAATAATAATAATAATACATTGTTTTATATATTTTCTCTAATTATATGAGTCATTTACATAATAATTTACGAGGCGATGAAAACATCCTATATTCCAATAATTTCTTTATTGATAATTTTACATCAAAATACATAGTGTTGAGGGCCTCGCCAGCCATCCCTCCTTCATATATTGTAAACAAAAGTCCTATCATGTCTACACGCTATTTTGTAAGTCATCAAAAATTAAATTACCTATTTACATCATATAAACGTGCTGTAAAAACTAAATAGTAATATCACAAGTAATGGCCAATAACTTTGTACAACAATTTTACAAACGAAAAAAAAATATATGTATATATTATTGTTCTTTCGACTCTTTTAGCAGCTGAGCACAAGGTCGACGTCATGATGGGGGGAGGAGAACGTGGAGGAGGAGGTCTGAAGTGATAGGGTTAAATCGTATTCACTTCCCCTACACACACTCACACTCTCTCCTCTGCTACTCGACTCACCATAACAACACCACCGTAACAATACAATGATCAGATTCACGAGTGGTTGAACTTAAGTGCTCTCAAGTACACTCGTGTCCTCTGGGTGTAGAATCTGGATTGTACACTTTGATCGTGAAATAAGTGGGATGAGGAGGAGGTGGGTCGAAGCCGGGTGAGGAGATAGGGGGGTGTGGCGGGGGAGGAGATAGGGGTGTGGCGGGGTGAGGAGATAGGGGGGTGGCGGGGAGGAGATAGGGGTGTGGCGGGGTGAGGAGATAGGGGTGGCGGGGGAGGAGGGATCATAGGTGGAGGATATAGGCTATAGGACAACCTAGTTCGTATACAAGTCCTATAGTGTTTGACTCTTCACGAGGATGAGGTGAGGGATGGAGGGAGGGGGGGGGGTCGGGTCGTAGATAGGTTGAGTGGGTATCCAAGGTGGGATGGTGGGGGTCGTAGATTGGTTGGGACTGGAAGTCTAGGGATGAATTATGGGTTTGTCGTAGAGAGGTGAAGGAGGACAAGAAGTCAGACAGAGGGAACAACTTAGCCCAAAATAGTGCCTCACATACTGACTCCATGAATATGACAACACTCCTATGTACAATGAGCACTGGGATTACACGGTAGATATAATATTTACAGACACAGAGCCTCCGTGATGTGGAATGATTCAGTGAGGGATGAGGCAGTGGCATGTGAGTGTGTATATGTGTGTGTGCGAGAGAGAGAATGATGAGGGTGGGAGAGGGAAACGGAGGCTCTGGTGGAAGGGGCGGAGGAGGAGAGAGTTGTTTCTTAGACCTGCGACGCGGCCTCCGAGCGGTAGTAAGGCGGCAAAGACGGCGCTGAGAGTGGCCCGCCCGAGGATAGAGGGGAGGGAGAGGCGGAGGAGGAAAGAGGGGAGGTGAGTGGTGAGGAAGGAAGAGAGGCCGTCACGGTGAGGGAGGAGCCCACCAGAGGGGAACCACCAGCCATGGAGCAGGCCAGGGAGCGCAGCACGTCCGGTCGCAGCGCCTCGGGTCGCAGGGTCTCTGAGCGGAGGTCCTGACGCAGCATCTCGTGTCTCAGGGCGTCGTGGCGGAGTTCCGGTCTTAGGGCCTCAGGTCTGATGGTCTCTGGTCTTAGGGCTTCGGGTCGGAGAGCGTCCCTCAGAGGGTCTGAATGCATCGGGGACAGAATGGGCAGGCCAGGGGGGTAGAGACGGTAGGCCAGGGGCTTCTGTAGAGCGGCGGCGGCGGCGGCCTGACGGTAGTAAAGGTCGACGGAGGCGGCGGGGCTGAGTGCAGCGGCGGCAGCGGCAGCGGCGGCGGCAGAGGGTTGAGGCGGGTAAGGCCAGCCGTACGGCGTGCTGTAGATACGTTGGACTGCGGCGTAGTTGCCAGCCTCTGCCAGCAGCTCCAGACCCACGGCCGTCTGGCGCTTCCACTTGGTCCTGCGAGAGGAGGAAGAGGAGGTGGTCACACTCATGCTGGTACACAGTGTTATACAACGCTTATGTCAGTAAATGTCTTGGACCACCAGTCTAAGCAGTGATGCTGCCTTCCCTAAATTATACACCTGGGGATATTCACCACCTGTCATAGTAACATCTCATGACTTGGGGAAACTTACCGTCTGTTCTGGTACCAGGTCTTGACCTGGGTGTCGGTCAGGTTCAGCTTGGCAGCCAGCTCCATGCGGTCCTGCACACTCAGGTACTTCTGACGCTCGAAGCTCTTCTCCAGCGTCTGCAGCTGGTTGTCAGAGAACGCTGTCCGCGCCTTCCGTTGCTTCTTGCACGGCGGCGGTCCTGACCCGTCCGCGCACCCCTCAACGTTGTCTGTCGAGGGAAAGAAAACAATCATTAACACTTGACGACTGAAAGTGACCGGAACGCCAACAAAGTAATACATTAACAAGTATCCTATTTAAATCACACAACCACCACAGTCCCCTACTAGCTCCCCTCCCCCTCGGGGCGCTAACTGCCCTAACCTCACTCAACACACATAACCTCATCATTACATTCTCTTAAACCAATTGACGCCCAAGTCTATATAAACCGGGCAGTATGTTCCTCCGGCCGCCTCCCCTCCCTTCATCCCCTCGAGGGAAGGGAGCGAGGGAGGGAGGAAGGGAAGAACGATTTTTACCTTTACCCTTCTCCTATCAAAGGAAGAAAATGAAGAAGGGAGCGTTGTCAATCCCTGTGTGTGTGTGTACGCGCGGAAGGGACATTATAGCCGCCCTTCCCTGATCCTTTTAACACGGGTGTCAGGAACTTAAAAGGGGGGAGGGTAGGGAGTGAGGGTGGAGGGAGGGTTGGAGGGGAGGAGGGAGGGTAGGGAATGACGGAGAGGGGGGAGGAGTGGAAATGGATGCGTTATTAGTGGACATTTATGGAAAGCGATGGAGTGATGAGTAACAATGACGCCATAATGACCTCACGATGATGTGTGAAGGTAAATAAGTCATCATTAAACTATTGTAACTCATCACAATTACTCATCATCAAGTTACTAGTGCAATGATCAGTTATAATGATCTGGAAATGAGTCACCAGTAAGATGATGTAACGAGTCATAATGAGCTACCGGCACAATGATCACATGAATATATAATGAACTAAGGACCTTATGTTGCATGATAGTGATATGAACATTGCAACATCCCTGCAACAATTTATACAACCCTGAACTAACGCGAGCAAAATAAGGCATCGAAAACCAAAATACTGAAAATTACACAGAATGCGAATAGCCCGTCAATATTTCCAAATACCACTCGAGTAACACATTGCATGCAACAATCTCTAAAAGTGACGAAACGTGAGACTACAATAACACATCCAATCTCTAGAAATGTTTAGGAATTGTTTATATATTTATTTATTTACGGATGTATATAGCACGTGCCTAAAATCCACTTATAAATATCCTCGCATTAAGCCGGAACCACCACAACCACTCCCCTTAATCCCCCCTCCCTCATCCCCTAGCCCGATATCCCTTTAAATTCCCTTATTCGTCTCTCTACACCCCAGACACAGATCATCCCGTCTAATGCTATTCTCTGTCGTCTGGACCACATCCGATCTATGCGGTTTGACTGTACTCTCCCTCTCCCCGCATCTACTCCCCCCCTCTCTCCCTCCCCATGCAGCCACTTTAGTGTCGCCTCCCCACCCCATCCCATCATCACCCCATAAACCCTACTTGAGCGTCACCCTCTACCCATATCCCCCATTACCCATAAACCCATATGACTGATTCCGATTAGTGCCGCTCATCTGTGGGTCTCACTGTTACCAATCCTACCTCCTCCTCCTACCCAGTCATCTAGGAAACTGATGCTGATTTTCGACGATATGAATATTATTTATGTTGTTTCGTTCTGGTAACACGCGGCAAAGAATAACCTAATATGAAGACTCTCCACTCCAGCTCTGAACTAACTTATCCTATTCTAGCTAAACCTAACCTAACCTATCCTAACTAAATCTAACGTAACCTAACCTATCCTAGCCAAACCTAGTGCTAACCGAACCAAACCTACCTGTAACAACCTAACCTAACCTATCCTAACCAAACCACCTCTCCCACATAATTTTAGGTTAGGTGAAACAAACTAGGGTGGAGGTTCTTCAAGTGATTCCTCCATCCAAAGTTCTGAAATCACAACAGAAAGGAATTTTGAACTTTTCCCCATGATGTGTACGGTCTAAAACTTAAAACAAAATCGACTGTCAAGTTTATGTAGCAGATAACAGACGAGAAGAATTTTTGATCTTACTGTGAAACCATCAATATAATGGATTCCTGTCTCCTTAGAATCCGTAAGATGGAGATTTGACGACTAACGGACACTAACGGACTTTGATCTCAATATAGTTTATTAAAGTTTAATGTCTCAGTAACCCGGGACAGAAGCTTGACCTATAGCAACAAAGTCATCCACGATACAAACTTTTATTAGATAGATAGATAGAGAGAGAGAGAGAGAGAGAGAGAGCCAACTCACCCTATACACATATTGGGAACAGTGACCACCCCTCCCTCAAAAACCACTTCACGTCTGATTCATTGTCATTCACGACCTCCGTAAATATTAATGTGGTGTTTATCCGCGAGTAAACATCTACTTACTGAGGACAAGCATGCAAAATCGCCCCCCCCCTTGTGTGTGTGTGTGTGTTAGTGTGTGTGTGTGTGTGTTAGTGAGGGTCGATGGGTGAGAGGCTACATGAGTGGGTATACGCGTGTGTGTGTGTGTCGGTAAGGTGATACGGAGCTCAGAAGACGGAAGTTGTTTTAATTGACAGCCAGAACTCGGATGTTATATTACCTAGACCCTATAACCTGACACAAGACGGGGGGTCTATTATATTCCGCCCAGTGCTGAGAGTGAGGGAGGGGGTAAGGGGTGGGTGATGATGGGGAGGGGGTGTAGGGGGTGGTGGTGCTGGTGGGGAGGGGAGAAATTAGTAAGGGGTAATGGTTTAACCCTTTGGTGGAGATGGTTTAACCCTTTGACTATGAATTCTTTATTGGACAGAAATTTTATTGCTTACCCGATTTTTTGTCAAATTTTGTAAGCCATAAAAAAATATAATTAGATTAATAATTTTATATCGTAATTAATAATTTATCTCGCTAGAAATTTTATTTTTCTAACTAAAATTAAATTTTTCAAGGTGACGTAAAATTTTAAGTTCGATTAATAACTTTTTATAAGCACTGTAAATCATTGTTGTTTTCCTATATAATTAAAAAATCATAGCGAAATCTCAATTGATTTCAATTAATGTATAATGTACAGTACAGGTGGATCCTTAGGTGTTAGTCTTGATATAAATTATTATTACCTTTATTTTTATTATTATTATCATATTTCGTCCCATGTTTAACTTTTTTATATTATTATTTTTCGAATCATTATTATTATTATTATTACCATAATCGTTGTCGCTATTTTCAGAATCACTCATTATTATTATATTCTTGATGTTATTGTTATTTTATTTTACTCCCCGATAGACGGGTTGTAAAATAACTGTAAATATTTTTTTTGTAAATACATAAATCTTGAAACGAGCGTAAATAAGTCATCGACCGAACCCTGGACACGGCAGCTGTAAACGGCTGTAAATCAAGAGCTGTAAATAGGCGTGTCTCCCTCCAGTACTAACGACACCAAGAACTACGGCAACCACGACCACAATAATAATAACCACCCGTATAACAATTGCAATACTTAATTACCTAAACAATCATCACGAACCAAAAATAAATCACTAAACAATTCCACACACCGCAAAAGATATATAAATAAATTAATAGTAAAAAAAACCCGCCGAATTAATCCTTTAAGAAATCCCTTCCCCCCACCCACACCCACTACAATAAATCCCAATATGATATGGTAATGACATCGTTGATACACAAAAAAATAATCGCCGAGTTGGGGAGAAGGAGGGAAGGGGAGAACAACGGGTGGGGAGGGGAGGGTGGGGAGGGGAGGGTCGTTACAATTGGTGGTGGCAGTAGGGAGGGAAAGGAGGGTGAGAATTGGGAGGAGGGGGAGGAAGGAGAGTAAGGGAATAGGGAGAGGGATAGGGGGGGAGGGTAGGAGGGTAGTGGGTGCTTCAGTTCACTGCTCGTTAGAAGATCATTATACCCCTCCCTTCGTGTCAGCTCGTTGGCCAATCATGAAGCTGTGAGTTGGGTTGTTGGCGGTGAATTACTTACAGGCGTGTTGGTGGTTGGTCATTAACAGTCGTGGGGAGGGTGAGAAAAAGGGAGATGGAGGGGAGGGGGTTAGGGAGAGAAGAGGGAGTGAAGGAGAGACAGGAAGGGAGAAGGAGGGGAGAGGGGGTGAGGGAGAGACAGGAAGGGAGAATGAGTGAGGGAGAGACAGGAAGGGTTGGAGGAAAAGGAAGGGAGAAGGAGGGAGGGAATCGTACCAGGGTGGGAAGAAGGGAGAGACAGGAAATGAGACGGAAGGGGTGTAGAGAAGGTTGGAGTAGGGAAGGGGGAAGGGTCGGGGGAGAGGAATGGAGGGATGAAAAGGAATGGGAAGAAGATTAGAGTAAGGGGAGGATGGAGGTACCCCCCAGCACCATCACTCCAACACCACCACCACCACCCCAACATCAGCACCATCACTACAACACCACCACCACCACCCCCAACATCAGCACCACCACTCCAACACCACCATCACTACAACACCAGCACCACCACCCCAACATCAGCACCATCACTACAACACCACCACCACCACCCCAACATCAGCACTATCACTATAACATCAGCACCATCACTACAACACCACCACCACCACCCCAACATCAGCACCATCACTATAACATCAGCACCATCAATACAACACCACCACCACCACCCCACATCAGTACCATCACTATAACATCAGCACCATCACTACAACATTAGCACCATCACTGCAACACCAGCACCATCACTCCAACATCACCACCATCACTACAACACCAGCACCATCGCTACAACACCAGCACCATCGCTACAACACCAGCACCATCACCAACACTACAACACCAGCACCATCACTACAACACCACACTCACCATCAAAAACTCGGCTTCAAGATGAATAAAAACCACACTTCACCGCAGACAACACTCGCTTTACCGGGACAATCGTTTCGTATTACCAACAACGCCAGTACCCTGCTGTGGAGGGGGGTTAATACCATGTTAAACCACGTCCAATCACAAGGTCGAGAAATACTTATATCGACTTCCATCTAGCGACCGCAAAGATTTATTCTATATGTATTCCCTCAGAGCGCCGCGTCAGATTT